TCGATTACTATGAATTTTTAAGCTAACCCTACGGTAGGATTTTAGAGCAATAAATGTAGCTTCGTTTCATATAAAAGAAAGCATAATTATGAGTTGTAAATTTATTAGTTTCCGCGATAAAAATCCAGAACAATATTTAGCCATAAGAAATAACCCTAATTTTTCTGAAAATCAATTCATGATCATATTTTAATTTACAGGGCATTAAATTACAGAGTTATTACACATCATTTTTCAAAAATACAATATTGCGATTTCAGTGCTATTTAACCTAAAAGCCCAGGTATTAGGCAGTGACAAGTTAAAATTCGTCCTTAAAATATAACGAAAAAGCCAGCTGTGAAAAGTGCCCCCATAAAAAAATGTGAGCTCTCCAATTTCTCTTATGTTTAAAGTGACATAAAATTGTCCATTGAAAAAAAAAAATGGAGAAAAGAGACAAAAATAAGTATTTTCCTTACAATAATGGGATATTAGCAAAACAAATTTTGATCAAATTCCAATGATTATTTAAAAGTTATAGCCCACCAAAATTCGGGGAAAATCCACAAATGTGCATCAGATTTTCTCAAGTTGTATAATAAAACAAAATATTTTTATTCAATTACTATTGAATAAAAATATTATTAAATATTTTGTCTCTCTCTCCCGAGAGAGCGGGAGAGAGAGACAAGGAAGAAATTGCTGCAGTGGCGTATAAAGGGGGGGGGGGGGTTTGTGTGCTTGGGGTGCTTGAGCATTTACCCCCCCCTCCCCACCGTTCAGAGGTTGAAAAAAATATAAAGTGCCCCTTTCTAAAATGTTAAAAAATAACCGAAATTTTTAAGTATTACTAAAGTGCCATTCCCGGCATCTAAAAGTCCCCAATTCTTAACATTTTCTCACCCCAGCCTCAACCATGATGGGGGGGGGGTCACGTGGATACAGTAATTTTCCTAGTTTTTATGTATTACAGTACCATTTTCTGGCATCTAAAAGTCCCCAATTCTTAACATTTCTCACCTCAGCCTCATCTATCATGGGGCTCATTTCCAGGTTCTAGAAGTTGCAAATTCTTACCTCAGCTTGAACCATGGTTTGCTGAGGTGGATGGATTGGTAGTTTTCATAAATTTTAAGTATCCAATTGCAGTTTTCGGGCACAAATTTTTAAGATTTACTCATCTGCGCCCCAAAACCATGGTGGGGCTTAGGTAGATATCAAAAATTTTGTACTATTCAAGTGCTATTTTGGGCATCTAATTCTCAAACTCAGCTCAGTTGGGTAGCGTATTTTTAGAATTGTACGTGTTTAAGTGCCATTTTCGGGTACCTATTTAATTAATTCAATTTTTTTTATTCAATTTGTCAAAACTAAAAAGAATTAAAAGGTAATTTAAGTTCCATTTCCGGAAATCCAGATGTATAAATACTGACATTTTCACAACCACGATGGCGCTGACGTAGTGTGCACTCTCATTTTATCAGCAGACCCCCTTCCCTGGATACGCCATTGTTGCTGAAAACAATAGTTAAGCCAAATATATTTTCAATCGCTTTGTTGTTCATGTGAATGTCTGATAGGTTATTACTTTAAAATAATAGACACATGTACAACTGTCACTGAGCTGTGCGACTCCGATTTAGTAGTGGTACGTAACATTGGTCATGCACTTTTTTCAGGTGTTATAGAAATGGAAGACCATAATGTCATGGGAATGTACCTCTCTGGTAGGGCCTACAGTACAATCAGTGTAAAAGTGTAAGATATAGGATAGTGTGGATTTAAACAATGTCCTAATGGTAATGTTCAAAATATGCGTCAAGGAAAGTAAGTATGATTGTTGGAAAAATAGTGAACATTTTATTTTTATTTCTTACCCTGACCTTCGCTGGGCGATCTGGGCGAAGGTCTGGATCAGCACCTGAAGTAATGAGAAGGTAGGTACATACTGTGATGGACTGATTTACACTATATCATCATTTCATCAATTGAGTACAAAAGTGACAGGCGCGTAACAGGGGTCTTGGGTCAGGGGGGCAAAGGTAATAATTTTCCCGGTTAGTAATTTATGACCCGGTGTGATACCCCACCATTCCCCCCCCCCCCAACCATATAGAAAACAATACGATATAGGGCTTATCTTATTTATAATAAAGGCCACGCACATGTGTTTAAAAACTAAATATAAGCATTTTCATCATGGTTATATCTATTACAAACATATTCCTTCACCATCAATACACATTAAGGCCCTTCTTTTAGGTAAAACGATCTATCTTAAATGTTCTTTCTATTGGAGTTGGGCCTATTATGTGTTTAAATAACTTAGGCATAGGAGGGCAAGCACAAGCATTAACCTTAACAAATGCGCACGAAGCGCGCAAAAAATGTTTGTGTTTTTAATTCTAATTTCGTCGGAATTGATCAAAACCCCTAAAATGTGCAATTTTTAGAGGAAATTTGCCGACCAAGCTCAACAAGAAATGCGCTTACCGTATTGTCTCTAATAAACACCCCTCTTCTAATAAACGCGTTTTTTTTTCATTTTGCAATGAGTGCCCAATCAATTAACATGGGTATCCAGTCCATAAAAAGGTTGACAAACAAGGAGTAATACCATACTGTGTGCTGCTTTCTTTGATATGAAATGAAATACTGTAAATACTACTCAAAAAAGCTTACCTTAAACGTTTGATGTTTACTGTCTTCACGATCACTAGGCCTAGGCCTATTTTGTGTTTCTCTCATGGTATTTCATTAGCCTTGTAAAAAGAGGGTAAGCTGCAAACTGACGGCAAACGACGGGTAATCGTGTATTGTTAATGTGTCGCGTGTTCGACGCTGATTTGATTCAAGGTGTCTGGTCAATGAAGTCTATACCGTAGTGAGAATGTTTCTTCAAGTTAAGGGCAGTGTTTTGCGTGCGGTGGTGCGGTGTTAGTTCATGAGGCCGCCATGTTTTTGACAAGCACGCGATTGCTATTGTGAAAGGAGAAGCACCACGCTGCATCGTCGGACATTTACCCCAAGAGAACTCGAAGATATTTCATTTCTTTTTGAAACACAAGGAATTATTGATGTTTAAATAACCAGCAACAAACGAAGGAACAGCAAAATAGCAGGAGGCCTGGAGATACCCTGCACATTAGCATGTTCCTCTACAAATAAAGAACTTATTGACCGTTTAAAGCAGCTTGTTTAGGTAATTTTTGATTTTACAATTCACCTCTAGTAAACACGCCCCCCCCCACCCCTTTCCCTTTGAAAAAATGCAACGCCCCCGGGGCGTTTATTAGAGACAATATGGTATGTTATCTATGGCCACACTTTTTTTTTTTAAACTGACTATAAGCATTTTCATTATGGCTTTATTACAAATATATTCTTTCACTATCATTACACAATGAGGCCCTTCTTTTAGGTAAAACGATCTATCTTAAATTATCTTTCTTGAGTTTGGTACTATTATGTGTTTAAATAACTTAGAAGGCAAAGAAGGGCAAGCACAGGCTTTACCCTTAAAAAATGTGCGTGAAGCGCGTGAAAACATTTTGTGTTTATTATTCTAATTTCGCCGAAATTGATCAAAACTTCCTAAAATGTGTAATTTTAAGAGGAAATTGGCATACCTCAACAAGAAATGCGCTTATGTTATATATGGCCACACTCGTTTTTTTTAAACTGACTATAAGCATTTTTATTATGGCTTTATTTATTACAAACATATTCTTTCACCATCATTACACATTGAGGCCCTTCTTTTAGGTAAAACGATCTATCTTAAACTTTTTTCTTGAGTTTGGGACTATTATGTGTTTAAATAACTTAGAAGGCAAAGGAGGGCAAGCACAAACTTTACCCTTAAAAAATGCAAACGAAGCGCGCGAAAGAATGTTTTGTTTTTAATTCTAATTTTGTCGAAATTGAGCAAAACTCCCTAAAATGTGCAATTTTTAGAGGAAATTGGCCTACCCCAACAAAACCCCAAATTTGAGAGTTTCAGGCACTTTCCGGGGTGATAAGAGCATCTTCAATGGGGAAAGATTTTCCATTGATGAATATTTTCCCCTTGTCCAATGGTGATTACGCCACTGCGGAGAATATCTGGCGGCTTAGATCAAATGCGATATAGACACTTTTTGGAGTGGAGAAGGAGTTGCTGGGTATTGTGATATCTGTTCATTATATCTTCCTTTTTATTTTTTTTCTTTATTTTTCTCTTCCCTTTTTCTCTTCTCTTTTTCTTTTCTTTCCCCTTCTTTCTCTTTTCCCTCCCTCTCCCCTCTTTCTTTTCTCTTCTTACCCAGCCCGGTACTACGGCCTGGTCATCCCGGTAAAATCCCCCCTCCCCGCCTATTACGCCACTGAAAGTGACCAAGGTATATAGCTAGAGCTAATCATGCTTGGCACCTCATCCCCATCCCTCTTAAACTACAAAACTTTGTCAAAAATAAATATGACACAAAGGAATGGTTATTAAAAGAATTATTTTAACCGTGTACTGTATGTATTAGGCCTATCAGTAATTTTAAAATAATGAGATAAACTATAATATAATATATAACTATATAAATCCAAAAAAAATTTAGAGACACATAATTTATGAAGTTAAGATATATCGAATATTTTAAGTGAATAAAACTGTGGTGCTGAATGTGCTCTAAAATCAGAAAATGTAATGCACCTCACACACAATTTTTGCGTAACTAAAACAGGCTTAAAATAAAGAGTCATACTTATTGCCCTATACCTTAATGCTATAAATCAGATGTGGATGAATAAAAGGATTATAAAGCATGGTTAGTATATTCTTAGTTTATATATAATATAACATAATTATAATTATATTATTATATAATTATAAACACTCGGGACAAATAAAAAATGAAACCACTCACCGTATCAAGTGTCATTAAACCATACGGCATATTAAAATAAGTCAAAACAAAATTTAAAGCTCACGACTAAACATTCTATTGATTGTGAACTTTGACAAATGTGAATGTAATCATGCCTACCTCTGACAATGAGTCTCATTACTCCACGGTTGTCATCAGGACTACCACTCCTATAACATTCATACACCCCGTCATCTTTAGCGCGTATATTTTCAATCGTAACAGACGATTTACCGTTCCACATTTGAATTACATCACCATAATTATGTCTCCAGCGCAAATCGTTATAAATGCCGTCTTCACTGAGGTTGATAGTGGCTGATTCCCCAATGCCGACAGTTAGCGTTCGAAACTGCATTTTAATGGCAGCTGTGGAAATACATTCAATATTTCATTTCTTTTTGAAACACAAGGAATTATTGATGTTTAAATAACCAGCAACAAACGAAGGAACAGCAAAATAGCAGGAGGCCTGGAGATACCCTGTACATTAACTTGTTCCTCTACAAATAAAGAACTTATTGACCGTTTAAAGCAGCTTGTTTAGGTAATTTTTTATTTTACAATTCACCTCTAGTAAACGCCCCCCCTTTGAAAAAATGCAACGCCCCGGGGCGTTTATTAGAGACAATACGGTATGTTATATATGGCCACACTTTTTTTTTTTAACTGACTATAAGCATTTTTATTATGGCTTTATTTATTACAAACATATTCTTTCACCATCATTACACATTGAGGCCCTTCTTTTAGGTAAAACGATCTATCTTAAACTTTTTTTCTTGAGTTTGGGACTATTATGTGTTTAAATAACTTAGAAGGCAAAGGAGGGCAAGCACAAACTTTACCCTTAAAAAATGCGAGCGAAGCGCGCGAAATAATTTTGTGTTTTAATTCTAATTTGGTCGAAATTGAGCAAAACTCCCTAAAATGTGCAATTGCCGAAACTGCATTTTAATGGTGGCTGTGGAAATACATTCAAATACAATTTAATAGTGATGATAGAACAAAACAATATTAATTAATATGTGTAGTGTAATTATAATGATGATAGTGATGATGATAATGATGATGATGGTGATCGTGATGATGATGGTGATGAGGATGATAATGATGATGATGTACTTTTATTTAAGCACCATTATTTTAGGCGTCTTACCATTAATGATACTTTTTACGAGTTTCTATTTACGTCCAATGAAATATCGTAAAAATAATTTTACACTAACACTAAAGCATATTGGACAAGGACTTGTCGCGCTACAAACACAACACATGTGAGAATTCATTATTCAAATTACATTAGTAGGCCTACAGTGCAATGGAAGTAATATTCATAATAGCAGGTAAGTACCAGTGATAAAAACGTGTATGTTCAATAAATATAATAACGGAATAAAATATATTATAAAGTGACCTTATTAATCACTAAAATAAGTCAATACGAAACATTAACATTAACATTAACATTTTAGCGTGTACTGCATATAATCCAGTTTTTACTTTACAGTATATTACCTGCTTTTGTCAACATTCAAAATTGTTGGCTCACACTTCTTTATTAATTCATTTGGAAAGTTCTTGCTAAAATTATAGTTAAAGACGTAACAGTATTCAATATTGCGCTTTAGAATCAATCTTGTATATATATATGGCAATACTTGACATATTTGGCCGACTATAGCCTGGTTCTCACGAGAGCCCTATCCGAATCGGAAGCTACTGTAACCGTTCGTGCTAAGCATTAGCACCTGCGCGAGAACGCCCGATCGCTGCGCTGTCAGCGGTATCCGGATACCGCTAACAGTTAGCAAGCGCTATTGGTTAGCAAGTTGAGCGCATTTTTATCATCAACCAATCCAACGTACGCGTATACAATTTCTCATAGCCTGTGTTTCGCAGGATGATTATCTAAAATTATTGTAGTCCTGGGGGTTAGGATCGAGAGGGGATAATGGCCGCCGACGTCCGAACCTCCCACACCCCTAAAATGTTACAGTTATTTTTTAGTAGGGGGTTACCCCAATGTTATGTTTCATTTCAGCCCCAGTCGTTGTGGAATGATGTGAACATGTATCTACCAAGAAGCGCCTCTTTACGGCTGCTAGTTAGTCACGGACCACGCCCATACGCAATTCAGCACAATGACGCTGCAAGTTATGGGTTATTCTCCTACCTTTACCTTTACCTTTACCTTTAGGAGAAAAAATGTATACAGATCATTGGTGATTATTAGGCTAATCTCAAATAGATAGGTGGCCAACAGATTTAAAGTGCTAAATATTCATAGACATAATTTGTTACAAGCTTTTACGAGATGAATTTTCATCTTTCTTGGCTCACACGGACTGGGCTGTTGCCACGTTGAAATTTGGATTTAAGTGCCAAATTAGACCATATCTATTTCAATCCTTCAACAACTTAGCAAAATTTGAGGGCAGCATTTGAACAATTATACGCCTTCTTAAGTAGTAATAACCTTATTTCGAGTTATTGATCGCCATACCAACGAAAGAAAATGATGAACATTCCTGTCTAAATTAAAAGTGTTACCATAAATATAATACAAAGAAAGGAGATAAAACTGTACCTGTACTTTATTATTTTTATAAACATCTATGCGAACAATCCTCTCATGTGTTG